GAGAAATGAGAGACAAATCTCGACTATCTCTAGTTTGTACTCAACTCATCAGCCTCAGAGTTTGTTGTGTTATTGGCCTGACGAAAGCTGATAGTAATAAACAATGGTGCAACAAAACAAAAACATCATAAAAACAACGAGGCAGCGCTGCAATCTCTCATGCGGCCAAACTAGCACAATGAATAGAAAGTCCAAAAGATCAGAATTTACATGAAATGGAAATCTTTTGGAACATTATAAATGTTTTAACTTAACTTTTTCACCAAGTTAATGTGTCTTTTCTTTAAAAAAAAAATAGTGTGTGGCATTTATTTAACATATGAAGTTTTTCTAATACAAAAAAGCGCAAAGTATTGTGAATTTCATCTTTCGTTGCAATGAAAAAGTCTTATCGGACCAGACATTTGCAAATAGCTTTATATGACCTGACGTTAAACTTGTTTATCTGATATCATTTTCAATGGTGCCAGAGTAGCCCCATAAAGCAAATTGAGAAATGAGAGACAAATCTGGACGATCTCTAGTTTGTACTCAACTCATCAGCCTCAGAGTTTGTTGTGTTATTGGCCTGACGAAAGCTGATAGTAATAAACAATGGTGCAACAAAACAAAAACATCATAAAAACGACGAGGCAGCGCTGCAACCGCTCATGCGGCCAAACTAGCACATGGAGCAAACTGGAGGAAAACAATGATGGGAAAATCCTGTAGAAACAGTGAAATAATCCAGCTGCTCACCACAGTCACCTTCCTGTGCTTCAGTGCTGGTTATTAGACAGCAGCCAAACAATTAATGCTGCAATTAATAGTTCACTCCAGATCTGAACAATCACAGTATTTGGCAGTCACACAAGCATTGTTGTTGTACTTTCGTTCTTCAATAACCTTGCTAATTTACAATTCGCTTTCTTAATTGAAATATGGCTAGGATGTCATCATGCTTCCCTGCAATTTCGTCCGAGCATTTTATCTTTCCCTGGAGCTAAGGCCATTGTTGCTAAGCTTATCTTTGCATACATCAAAAATGACTAAAAATGTCTTTCAAACACAGATATCTCTAGATATGGCTTGAGTCCCTCCTTCAGTGTAAAGATGCAGTCACATTATCATAATTTCAGCAAAATTTAATGAACAAAAAAAGGTCTATTGTATATTGACAGTAGTGTAGTGATGTAAGAAGCACAGCTCACACACAAGTCACTTTCAAACCAAGCAGCTTTCTGTCAGTTAACGAATTGAATTCAAATGGAAGAATAAAAAATAATCACAGAATAAGAAAAAATAAAAAAAGGTAATTGCAACTTTACGTCTCGCAATTCTGACTTTTTATAATTTTTTGAGTTTAAATCTCACCATTCTGAGATTATATGTCAGAATTCAGAGAAAAAACGCTGGAATTGTGAGATGTAAACTTAGAATTCAGACAAACAAGTCACAATTTCGAGATGATGTAAACTCAGAATTCAGGTTAAAAAAAGAAGAATTGCAAGACAAACTCAGAATTCTGAGATATAAACTTAGAATTCACGTTTAAAAAAAGTCAGAATTGCGAGATATAAACTCAGAATTTAGAGAAAAAAAGTCA